TAGTAGCAGTAATAATAATAATAATAGTAGTAGTAGTAGTAGTAGCAGTAGCAGTAGCAGTAGCAGTAGCAGTAGTAGTGGTGGTCATGGTGGTGGTGGTGGTAGTAGTAGCGATAGCGGTCGTCGTCGTCGTAGTAGTAGCAGTCGTCGTCGTCGTCGTCGTCGTATCAGCAGAGCAGTTCAGTAGAACGAAAGCAGCTTCGGTCGACTACTTGGTGATGATGCGAGGTGTGATGAGATCGGCGTTTCGACTCCTTACCCCGTCCTTCAGCTCGATTCCAAACCTTGAATCATGTGCTGGCAGCCCGCCTGCACACTAAATCCGAAACAGCACACCACGTCCCAACCTCCTAAGCAATTCTTCGGCAACTACCCACTATACCCTGCCCCATAAATCTGCACCCAGGGACACATTCTCATGGGTTTGCAGAACCCCAAGCCTTACAACACCCCGAAGTTAAAGGCTTGACGCACTCAAAGCCTGAGTCCCAAACTCAACCTACATCCAAGACCCTACGCCGAGCTGTGATCCTGAATCCTACAGCAACACGGACAGCCGCGCAGGCCTGCGTGTGCGAGGCTCCTCATCATGGCGAGCGCTGTGAAGAGAAGCATTGCCCGGACTCCCGGGTTGAGCACTTTACGAGTCCGAAGAATTTTTTTTAGCATCCCCTTATACCCCCTATGAAAATCATGATCTCAAAGAAGTTATAATGACCCCCAAAGCAATCGCGCTTCGGGTTCAAGCGGTTCGCTGTTTCGGGTAGTTAATGTCGAGAGGAGAACTCTGTAGTGTTTTTGTCTGGCTTCAGGGAAGAGCACAGAGAAGGCCAGGTCATGAAGGTTTGACACGACCCGAACTCCTGCGCCCGACGCAGGCCCGGCCCATACAAGCCAGTTGAAGTGTTGGGTAGAGTGCTGCACCAGGTAAGCGTCAGGGAGCTGCGGCTGCAAATGAACTTCCTAAATGCTAAATTCTCCTAAACTTGTTTTCCTCCCAACTCGTTTTGTGACTAGCCTCCCAAGGTTGGTTTTCAAACGCGTGGGCACTGATACTCCGGAAGGGTTGAACGCGTGCTTCAAGCCGCTGAGCCCGAAACCGAAACCCTCAACCTCCAAAACACAGTTGAATCTAAATCCGAAGCTGTACACACACTGTCCTTTGCTCTATGTGTTGAGTTCGCCCGGCATGTTCCTGTACAGGCTGCAGGACTCGACACGCCCGATCTGACAAAGGGTTTGGGGTGTTGGAGCGGTCCTGCTTCAGGTTTTTACTCGAAGGCCCAGCATGCAGAATTCATTTGTCAGCTTGCTCCAAAGATCATCGGTTCGAATACCATGGGACCATCAGAATTCCAGGGCGGGCTTCGAAACCCGGAAGAAACTGATGATGTCATTTCAGGGTTTAGGTTGACAGGCATGAACCCTGAAACGTCGGATTTTGGTTAGCAGCAGAGTTACAGCACTAGTTACAGCTGCTTGACATGGCTGATGTTTGCCATGATCATGAAACCCTTGGCCTCCGAAGCTCCGGACCAGCCCACGTCTTTCAGGCGATGACTGGGACGGCACAGAAGGAGGCTGGGGCTTCTTGAGGTCCCGACCCAGTGGTAGCGGCGGCGTTGCGACAGGTGGAACCCTCGATAAGAGTCAAATTCCGGCCCTACTCTTGGAGTTGCGTTTTCCAACAGGATTTAGGGCACTTTGTGTGGACTTGGAGTCTAGGAGGCGAGGAGAAATCCCCAGGTGCGCCACCACAGCCCCGAAAATCCCGCCAGAACTGGCTACAGCATTTAAACGGCACTGACCCTTAAAGGAATAGTTTCCGGCCCAGAAGATCTCAAAATTGAAGAGGCGGAAGTCTTGTACCCACGACCCTCATGAAACCTGCAACTTCAGACATCGCCTAGAGCCATGCTAGAAAACCCCGCAAGTTGTCAGACCGAGGTTCTCAACCAAATGCTGAAAAAGCACGCCTGACGTGCAAGACGACCTCAGGCAAACCCAGAACATCCCTAAACCTTGGATCCGAAAAGACAACAGAAGATCTCAATTGGACTCAAGTCCCAAACCCCTCACACTCCAAACCCGCCTAACCGCGCTGGAGTCCCAAAGACGTCCGGGTTTCGGTTTGAAATCTAACCGGTTCGGGTTTCGGTTTGGCTTCAGCCAGGGGTGGAGGTTTGGGGTCCCGGGTCCAACTCGGCATTTGCAGGAACAGAGTGCAGCGGCAATGGAGTGTGCCAGCAGGGGCGGCTCGGAATGTAGTGGAGCTGGTGTTGCTTTTTCTTATGCTAACCTGTTCTGCTCGTGATAATGTTCCTTGCTGCTGACGCTGTTACCACCGAGAAGCAGGATGATGCAGATCGCCAGTTGAGAAATGCAGCTGAAGTAGTGCTGAAGGAAGCAGTGCCCCAAAAGGGAAACTCAAGCTTCCCCAAAGCCCGATAGCGACGATCCTTCAACCCTGCGCCTTGATCCCATTCCGCTGATGTGGCCTTGCTCTGGACTAGGGTCCGTCTTGAGGTCACAGTAGAGTACTGTTGAACTACGTGCATACTCAGAATAACCCTGAAATAGGAAATATGTAGATCAACTGAAGACAGCGTTTTTGGAATGCGGGCGCCGATGTTCACGACAAACTCGGTGGGAGACCTAAAAATAACCGTATAAATCCCAACTTCTAAACCTGAACCCTACATCGCAAACCCGAGCAGCCAAGCATTTCAACCCCAAACCTTGCATGCTAAACCCTTTAAATCCCAGCCCAGGAAATGCTTCTGCTTGCCAGGGTCGCTCTGCGGAGAAGCTCAGGGTTCTCTTATAAAGTGGGTGAACATGTGTGTGTGTGTGTGTTGTACATGCGTGCAGAGCCCTATTAGGGCTTAGGGTTATGGAAACAAGGCAGTGTTGGGGGTTGAGCGGTTTGGGACTTGAGGCAGGTTTTGAAGTGTAAGATGAGAAACAGCGGACGGTGAAGTTGGGCTAGAGGTGCGAAGCTTCAGGCTCTCAGATGTTGACTTGTGGATACTTCTGGATAGCCAACCCTAAAGTCCCCAAACCCTGCACACTTAAGTCAACTTAATGCCCCCCGAACCGCGAAGTCTGAGTCCACAGCTCCCTTTCTTCCCTCTGCAAGCGGCGCGAAAAGGCCCCCAGCCCTTAACGACCCAAAGCCGAGAAGTGGTGGTGTGAAGTTTCCACTGGACCTTCCCGGCTTATCCTCGCGAGAAACCGCGCGGAGCTAGCTATCAAAGGAACAAGTTATTCAAGGCGGCAAATGTAGGGACAGCAGGTAGACAAAAGAGCAAACCCAGTCGGGGTTGAACTCCGTCTTTTGTTGCTTCGGTAATTACACTAGACCAGGAAGGAACTCCAAAAATGCTATTGGTCTATTGGTACTGTAGCATGAAGTATGGTAGTTCGGTTTGGCCATTACGGGTTTCGGGGCTCGCAGTTACCAGCGGGGTGCAGGTTGAACTTTATGTTTAGGGTGTCGATTTAGTAGTTCACAAGGAATCAAGGAATGGGCTATTCCTCCCGACAGTCAGACTCATTTGCTGAGTGATATCTCTACGGATACCTGAAAAATCTGAACCTTGAACCTTAAACCCTGCAAGCCGTACTGATCTGTGCAAATCCACGCACTGCCAGACTCTCCGTTTCGAAAGGTTTGGCCTGGCCAACACCTCGAGCAATGCGGCCAACATTTGTGCCCGGCTTGATCAGGCTTCATGAGTTTGTGATATTGCCAGTGCGTCTGAGGCGCTGTGAAGCGCAGCATGCAGCACGTATATTTGAGGTTAGTCGTGGTATTTCAAAAGTTTTGTTTTAGACTCGACACCTGACACCTTGCATTGATATGAAGGGCCGGTGAGTTCAGACGTTTTTTACTTCAGCCCTGTTTCAGGTTTTGACTTTCGACTTGATATGTACGCAGCTGAAGTCAGGAAAGGCTTTGAAGCTTTTTTTGCCTCGGCATTTGCTCTAGGTTGTTCTTGATCAGCATTCGCTCCAGCCGGCTCAGGGCTTGAAGGGTTCTTAGAAAAAAGGTTTTGTTGGCTCGGGTGCACCGCCTTTTCCTTGTAAGGTGCGGCGGTGTTCTGCCGTTTTCATGCACAGTGGAGGACAATTTAGCCTGTGAATTAGCCTGTGAAGAGATTACTTCCGTCTCGTGTGGGACACTCATGGAACCTGGCTCCATGCCCTGACTTCGTTGTAATTGTTAGGTATTGGTCACGCGCGGTATGTGTACATGGGATGGGCGATGCTTGCTCTAAAACCGAACCATCACCCTGTTTTGAGTTGGTCTGTTGTTCTTATTCCTGCTGGTAGTGGTCGTGTGTCCCATCCACCCTCCCGTGCATTTGTGCTCGCATGCATGGGGCAGCGGCCGGCAGGGACTGTTGCAGTGTTTCTGTTTGTCTTCACACCTCGGTATATTGACTTTACTTTGCTTCTCCACGCGAGACCCGAACCCAAGCAAAAAGGCGTGAAATCCCTCAAACCCAAAGGCCTCAAACAGTGGGGTTTCCACGGACCTCAGGTGCCGACGTGGTGTGCCTGGCCGATTGCGGAAGCCACGGCGAGTGCAAGGATGGGACGTGGCCCGACTCATTTCATCCTTAATGTGCTGCGTTCAGATTCAGGTCATTTCGCAGCAAATGAATGGGCCGCCTTGCCTTCCAATATCGATTACCAGACCCCCTCTTAAGTAGGCCTTCTTCTGGATTCCCTCTACCGTCGGTCATCAATGGGGGGATGTGCGACGCGTGAATCTTATGCCTGCTCTGTGTCACGAATATTGCCACTTCTGCCGAGAGTAACCTCAATAGCCTTTTCGCAACTAATCCTTGCCACGACAGATTGTCCCGGGGGGTGGGCATCTTGAGTCTTACTGATCTTGCAAACAGACTTGCGGGGGGTTTTGATTTATATATCGCGACTCGACCCACATCCCCGCGCAACCCCACGCTCCAACTTCGCAGTCTTGAAATCCTAACCCCCGCGCCCGCACACTAAATTCCAAAAGCTCAAGACCTGATTTCCCCAAGCCTTGCATTTAAGACCTCCGGCCCCAAAAGAGACTCGTCGGTTTCGTTTGCGCGTGTTCTCGATTTGCCATGCCCAGGCTTCTATGCCCCGGCGGTTTCGATAGCACATGTGGCAAAGTAAGAAACCCGAGAGCTTAGGGCGGAATCCGTCAGGTCTTCAAGCCCTAAGCCTCAAGCTTGAAGCTGAACCCATGGCGAAAGAAGCCACGAGGTGCGTCTGTGAGACCGGCTGGCAGGCCCCCTTCCTTCCCCTCCACATAAGGAACGGGGAGATTGGGTTCTTCAAATTCTATCAGGTCGGGTTGCATAGAGTAAGGTATTATCTTCTCGAGAGCAAAGTCTTGTTTGCGATTGAGTTGAAGGCGTGTGCCTAATCTTTGTTGGTGTGATAGTTGGCTTTAAAAAACTCATAATAGCTCCTAAAAGGAGCTTCGTGTTTCGAAACTTGGAGTCCGTGCGTCGGGCTAGAAGAAAGACTCGCCCGGGCTGCTGACGCCAAGATCCTGGGGCCCAAGTAGGGCGTGTATGGTTGTAGGCTTCAGAGCTTTGGGCTTTTGCGGATTTAGGATTTGGTGTTTTTAATGTCATGCGATTCAAGGAGCAAGCTTCAAGCCACCACGCGACAGTGACACAAGGGGCCCGGCTTCGTGTAGATATAGAGGTCTGACTGCGTGGACTCGGGTTTGGGGTCGTCGAACCCGCGCAGGGCACCACCTGCGCGGAGCCCAAATGCCTGGACGACTGCAGCGGGTCTTTTGGCTGCACACATGCAGGTGGACTTGTGACATAAAAATGAGTGAAACAGTAGCGGAGTCCGCTGTAGGTTCCTTAGCACTTAGTATTATACTGAAACTTAACTGAGGCCGCTGCTAATATGATGATGCGACCTTAGTTTCCGATTCGTGACTTAGCAACTTGGTGAATGGCCGAATGCCCTTCACACGGCAACTGCCTGCAGATGATTAGCACACGACTTGTCAATGTTTATGCTGAATGCAGCTCTCTAGGCGACACCACGCATAGATGTCAGTTAGGTGGGACTGAACTGGTGTTCTACTTGCGAGCTGGTTTCCTATCGAAAGGAAGGATGTCAAGGAGACTATTTCCCTATGCGCTGTTCCTACTACTAGGCCGAATCAACAATAATTACTCTTTCCGAGGAGCGGGCAGAAAAAGGATAAGGATGCTGCTGATGATGATGATGATGATGATGGTGACGATGATGATGATGATGATGGCGACGACAGCAGACTTAGACTATATCTATCTAGCTTGAACTCAGGATAACCGAGCCCGATGCAAGCAGAAGCATGGATTTTTGATTCCCCAAAACACACAGCCAGATCTAACAGCAAAGGGGTTTCCTTGGTTTGATTCTCAGGTTTGGCGAGCTACTATTTCCAATGTTGGGCTTGGGTCTTGCGGTGGGACTTACAGTGCCCAGCTCAGGAACTACAAACGAAGTGCCTCCAGCGTCCCAGATGTTCGAACACCCCAGACGACGTCAATATGGCTTATAGCGTTAGCCGGCCTTTGTAGAGCGACATCCTAATGCGTGGCTGCGTGGCTTTCTTGCGTGGCTTTCTAAGGAATATGTTCGATAGCCTGTATCTTCTTGCATCGTTCTACATTGATCTGTTGTTGTCGGAAGAGTGCGTCGTAGATCATCCAGGTGGGAGCCCTCCCCTATAGGCAATCCTCAACTGGCCTGGTTTCAAAACCGGGGTGAAGCAATGCCAGGCATGGACGATGCCTCTTCCCGCACCCAGATGCCCCGGCCGAGTGCCTCTGCCAGCCGGGTGGCCCAGAGCACGTTGAACCCTAGCTAATGCTCTTTCAGACACCCTGAACCCCTTTCTCCAACGAACCACACCCGGAAAGCTGCAGGCCGGGCTGCATCCTAAGATGATCGTTTTTGGCTTCAGGCTGGAAGGGATGTCTTGCGCTAGGCCACGGACATCCATCTGGACTGTTTAAATGTTTAAATTTCAGAATCGAAAAGTGCCCTAGAAGCCTGGAGATATGTTTTTCACCGACCCCTCATCCCTTGGAAGCCCTCCGGCTTCATTCGCTCCGGGGCTGTAGGAATGTTGGGACCTAGTCCGGTGGCCGAGGGACGGCTACGCAGCGCCGAACTGCGCCGAGCGCATCAGCGAGGCTTCGCTGGTCGGGTTCTCGTTTATGTTCATATTATACAGTTTACACTTGATCATAGATAATGCTTTATATAACTATATATATATATATATATATGTATGTATGTGTATGTGTCTATATATATATATATATGTAGACTTACATATTTGTGTGTGTATATATATATATATAGCGACCTTGAGGTTTCCAGGTTGTTTTGGGTTTGACGGCCTCGGTAGTTTGAGTCGTGTCATGTTGTCAAGCTTCGGGAAAGGGTTTGGGTTTCCTTAGACCTTGCGGATTTTCTGTGTCTTGGCTGCCCTGCTCAAAAATGTTTGGGGCTTGCAAGGCTTCAGGTCTTGAGTCTTGCAGTTGGTTTCAGAGTTGTGGCCGTTAGGTTTTTAGCTGGATCCAGCCTTGTGGTCTTCGGGTTTTCTTTCTCTAGGAGCAGCCAACATTGAATTTTAGGGCATTGAGGCTGGAAAGGCTTGAGATGCTTAAGTTTCCGCGTCCAACATCGGCGAACAGGTCTGCAATGTTAGATGGTGGGCCGTCATTCCATCACGGAGGTAAAAGCTTTGGAGTTTCTGGGCCGGGTTCAGGACGCCTGGGGGTTGGGGTCTAGTGAGTCTAGTGTAGGGGCTTGTTCACGCAGAGCAGAATCGCATGTTCTGTGGCACTGTAGATCCAGGCGTGGGACCTCAAATTTCGGAGCCACTAAGCCAAGCACTACACCGGCCCAAGGCCCCATGCGCTCCGCCTTTGTCTTTTGGCTCACGTCCAGAAAGCCAGCCGCACATCACTTCAGCCCCTACAGAGTCACAGAGTGCGGTATTTGACGCCTTGACCTTGCTCAAAAGCCAGCAAGTTCCTCGTCTCGTAAGCCGCAGCTGTTACTGGGGTTTAAAAGTGATGCTCTTGCCACTCAAGACCAATACTTGAACTCACATTGGGATGTCTGGCGGCAAGAGCATGCTCACAGCAGCATCGCTCGGATGGTACCATCACGCGTGGCTTGGCTTGATGGAATCAGGTCCCGTACCCTGCGCTGCTTCTCACAGTTGTTATCTGTTTCGGTGTCTGTGTGTGTGTACCTGCACGGAGAGGAGAGCTTCAAGAATGAGCCGTAGGAAAGTGCCCAGATGCGATTGTGATTGAGTTACGTGAGAACTAAGAGTTACGCAATTTTTGCGATGGCAGAGAGAACACGCCAATAGCCGGCGCACCGGAACGTCTTTCTGAATGCTCTAAGGACAGAAGCGCCTCGGGGCCGAGAACGGCGACGGCGGTGGCCTCGGAACCTTCAAAAAGGGCCTTTTTGGGAGGGGTTTTCAGGTTCGGGTTTGTAGGGTGTTTGCTACGCTTGTTTACTAAGTTTAGGGATCTCTGCGCTTATGGCCTTGGTCTTAGGGTCTGTAGGCTTGTTTTGTTGGGTCTAGGGACGCTTAGGGTTTAGGGTTGAGAGAGCTACTGAACCCCAGATGTGTAGGTTTGGGTCTTAGGGCTTGCTGAGGTGGTGCGAGGGGCTACTGTGTGGCATGCGTGCAGCTGTTTCAGGGCTCATGTGGGAACTCCGGGAGCTTTACAGTTTAAAGCTTTCAGCATCTTTCAGCCAGATGGCAGCAAAGATTGTATGAGAGTGTTTATGCCTGTCACCTCTCACGGTGCCATCTACTACGGCTATGCGCCGTCGGGCATCGCATACCATCACGAAGCCCTGGGACTTCAAATCTCCATCGCACAATGCAAGCCAGGATTGCCTTGAAAGCCCAGACCCGAAGCCCGGTCGGCTTAAGCCCTAGCTTTAGGACGCAGTGCCGTCGGAGCCAGGCTGCGGCCACTGTCACTGGTGTGCGTGGCGACCGCAACCACACTCTGTGCCGGGAGACTAGGCTGCTATTTCAGCAAATTTCGTGGTGTGCCGTTACCGAGCTAGCCTCAACAAAGAAAGGCTGCTGCGGACTTGCGGTTATGGTGAGCGATTCGTCTTCTTTTGGCAGGTTTAAAACTCAAGGTAGTATTAGCGTAGATCACCAAAGCTGAAGAATCGTAAGGCACCCCCACAGGCCTGAACCCACCTGCAGAGGCGCATAAGTGAGCACCCCGCTATTTCCAGTCTTCGCAGCGGTACTCCCCGTAGGAGGTTTCCTTCTCAGGTGCAGGCAATCTTTGAATGCCAATGCCATTCAGGACCGCCTTCGCCATGAAAATGTCCGTCGGCGAGGCCACTTCAGCCCCGCTTGGCACGGCAGGGTTGTACAGTCCAGGGATGAAAAGGCTTTCTGACGAGCCGCAAAGCCAGCCCTCAACCCTAGGTAGTCCCTGAGCCCTAAACGCCCGTCGGCTTTGTGTTACGTTTCGGCGTTTCGGTTCTGGGCTTGGCTTTGCTCTGTGTTTCACCCACGGAAGAAGTTTGCAGGAAATAGTCTTAGTTAACTACAAGCGCACCCTCGAGAACCAACGCAACAGTCAGTCGTTTCCACCTGTTACCATCACCGTCAACATCAGTGACCACGACAATTACCATCCGACGGCATTTCTTATGCCAGTTGAGAACTTTCGTCTACTTCAGAATTGCTGGTTCCTGAGTTTTGGATGTCTATGCCCAGTCATTGGCACCTTTCGCTCAGCTGTACCCAGCGTAAGTAGACCGCAAACGAGTTGCTTTCAACAGAATTACATGCATAAGTAACTACAAAAAACATTCCTCTACATGCATCCTAGAGTGTGAGAGAGAGCGAGAGAGACGGGATGGACAGAGAGAGAGAGAGAGAGAGAGAGACAGAGACACAGAGGGAGTGGATGCGCGGTTTCCGTTCAACTTGTGTTAGCAGGCATGGAGGCTGATCGGTGTCAAGCCGACGGCCTCCAAGCTGGAAATCAAGAAAGCCTTCAGGGAGAGGATCAGGCAGGGAACTGGGTTTGAGGATTTGGGGGTAGGCGTTTGAAGTTGGGCCTTTATTCCTGCTTTTGACCCCTCAACCCTACTTGGGGTTTGATATGCGACAGTAGATTTGAGGTCTTGGCGGGTCCAGGCCTCCTCTTCGCGAGTGAGCTGAGCGCCGCAGATTCGACGTATTTGGGGAGCTCGACGTGTTTGAAGTGTGTCGAATTTAGGATGTAGTGACAATGTAGTGACTCTGTTGATGTAGAGGTATAAGGTTGACCTCGTGATTTCCAAGCCCCTGGAAAAGGTCCCAGTCCCGGGCGATAGCAAGTTTTAGCTTTAGGGGTTGGGGTTTGGGGTATAGTAGGGTTCAGGGTGTAGTGTATGTAAGGGGATGTGTTGGGGTTTTTGGGCGATGAGGAGGACAGCACGTTGGCAACAGGACTAGAACCCCACGACCCCAAACCCTTAACCCTAAACCCTCACCCGTAAACGCTACAGATCTAGACCCTAAGCCTTCAACCCCAAACCCTTCTAAGAGCGCGGGATTTAGGGCCTTCGGAGCTTGTCGGGTGCAGGGTCTAGGAATTATAAATGCTTATTTAGGTCACGTTGCCTCCATGATCTGCGTTACTAAGTGGTCACTTCGTGACTAGAGATGTGATAACATGCTACGACCCAGCCCGGCATGGTAGACTGCACCCCTGCAGCCCTCTGGATCTGGGGAGTTTCGGGGTTGCAGACACGAATTTCTGGGAGGCAGGTGCATCCTGACGTCACGGGAGACGACGGCACCATGCTTCGCAAGGCTTCCGGCTACACTCGGAGTTTACACGGGTTTGTAGTGGCCTTTGTGTTGCGAGCTCCCGTCAATTTGTCTTTGCAGGAATGCAGGCATGAGCACGAGACCTAAAATTTAAGTTGGCTTCTGAAACACAGGTTTCGCGCGTTTCGGGCTTGTGTTTATACAAAACTTTGTTGGTTTTTCCCTATGTATTCATCACTTCAGCTGTCTCTTCTAGAGACAATCTAAGTTGTGATGCAAACCTGAATTGCGCAGCTTCGCTGTTTTTCGGTGCGCGCTTAACATGTTAGTCGTCTTTTTTCGCAGACGACGGAAGTCATGGGCAAACCCGAAGAGCGCCATTTTGCTACGGCAGTCTTGGCCGGTTTTCGGTATATCTGGCGTGCTTTTGTTGCATGTATGAACAGCCATGTCTTTGCACATGGTGTGTGGGTGTGTGTATATGTAGCTGAGTTGTCATTGTATCGTGCACACAAGCACACACAATATCTATTGAGTTAAGAGCAAGCCCGTCCTGAAGTTGAGAATATAATTTGTCTAGTGAAACGATGAGAGTAAACTTCTAAGAATTAACCAATAGCGATCAAGCAAATGGTAGGTCTTGAAAGCTCCCTCAGGTGTAAACAAAGGAGGCCAACAAGTAAATATGCGAACATCCACCTACCGGTCTACCTGCACGCTCGCTCTATCTCTCTCTGTCTCTCTCTCTATGTTTGTCCGTTCTTTCTTCTGTCCTTATTTCTTTATTCTTGCTTTCGTTCTTTCATTGTGTCCTTCATTTTTTCTTTCGTGCTTGTTTTCTTTCTTGCTTTCTCATATACATAAGAGTGTGTGTGTGTGTAGTTGTATTCCTAGCTGCATACATACATATCTGTTCATCTAGATGTACATTTGCTGGTGTCTATCTATCTATCTATCTATCTATCTATCTATCTATCGAAATATATATATATATGTATATATATATATACATATATGTATCATGGTCTCCGAACGTCATGGCCCTAAACCCCAAACCCTAAATCGACGCAGGTCCAGGATGCCTACCAGCTTCTCGAGGAGCTCCGAGACCCGACCATCTACCACAGTTCCGTGGAGGTCAGGGATTAGGGATTAAGGTTTAGGGTTGAGTCTTGAACATGCGCATGGACCTCCAGTTATTACGATTTGAAGTCGTAGAAAAGGACTACGTACGATTCGTAGTCCAGGTTAAGATTAGAAGCTTGACTAGGGACTGCAATTGATTGAAGGTTTAGGAATTGGGGACTTTTGGAAATTAGGGCTGCGGGTGTAGGGTATGCCGGTAGAAGAGTTTCGAGCTGCAAGAAGTCGTCTTTTGGAGTGTAGGACATGTTTCGTAAATGAAGGACGACGTTGATTGGGGAGTTTTCATACGAAGAGAGCTTTCGGGTTCTCTGTTTTTTTTGCTGGAATAATACAATGAATCCAATCTAAAGGCCTGCCGACTTGATGGAAATCCTGGAATCCTGGGGCCTGGATCGAAAAGCCCAGCAGCCCAACAGACCTTTTTTGCCCTAAATTCTGTAAACCCCCAAACTCAACACCCTGCTCCGGAGGGCCCACTGCCAACTGCAAAACCTGAGAACCGTTTCTTCCTGGTCTGCGTGACAGGATGGCGTGCCGGAGTGGGCCTCGGGGTTGCTCCAGGCCACTCCGGCTGCGTTCCTGCTGGATGGGTGTTTTCTGTTGAGGTTGTCGCAAAAGTTGTGGTTCGGGTTTGGGCTGCAAAAGTGGGGTGCAGGTAACGTTTCTGCTGGAGCTTGGGCTTGTGGCGTGGTGTCCAGCTGTTGATGGTTAAGTTGAGAGTTGAGAGTTTAGGCTCTAGGTTTCGCTTTCAGAATTGGTAGAATGTGGTGTTTGAGTTTCAGGGCGGGGTTTCGGAACGGGGGGTGTTTGGGGGCCAAGGATCGAAGTCCAGAAGCATTTACATTTTGGGGTCAGGGCACTTGGTGTCCGCATGCGAGATTTTTAGAGATAGAAGTGCTTTGCTGGTCTGCGGGAAGCACTCTTGGAAGTTCCTCGTCTGCGGCCCCCGCTTCTGAAATGTTCTCGGGGTTTCCGACATCAGAGCCCCTGACGTGCGAAAGCCTTCATGTCGTTGTGTTCAGCACATTGGATTTTGCAGCCTGATTGTATGTCCGTCCGTTCAACGGCAGCTCGGGCACAGGGTCCACAGGTGCTTGGTGCTCTGTACTTAACTCGTTTAGACTGCAAGTGTTCAATGTGATTTCGGTCCACTAAACACCCTTTGTTTCAAAGCTGCGACGTTCATGGTAGGGATTTTACGATTTCGCTGTTCATGTGTTCTGGCTTTGGGGCTTGGTGTTTCTCGTCCTCTTAGGAATGAGCACGGCAGGTTCTTAGCAAAAGGTTCGATTTGCTGGCTTGCAAATTTATAAGGTTGTGCACTTGATTATGGAACCCCAAGGTAAGACTCTCGATGTAGGAACTCACCACAAGCCCTGGACCTTGGCCTCAGAATTTATGGGCCTGATTTTGCCCCACTTCGCGCCAAGCCAGGGCATCGAGTGGACCGCAGAATGCACTCCGGTTGCAGCTATATCAAGCCAAAAGCTCCGATGAGACAAACGAGAGGCTGGATGCCTGCGTCCCAGGTCTCAGAAGCCATAAGGGTCATGGAGCAAAAAACAACGTTCTATTCCGGCGAAAGTTCCGCAGGTCCTTTTGGAAGAGCTATCCCGATCATAAGTTAAGTGTCGCCTGGTTTAAAGCGACACGTGCCAAAACGGGAAGCCAGATTGCAGACTGACCGCGGATGTATCAAAACTTATGCATCGCCGAGGGAGAGGGTGCCACTGGCATTCTGGAAGATTGGTATATTGAACAACCGATCCAGAACATACCTATCGCGTAGCTTGTTCCCGGTTGCATATGTTGCGGTATCCCCCTCCTCCGACACAAGAACTAAACAGCAAAGATCCACAACACCAATAAGTCCGCTTTGGCTTGCTACCTATCTACCTACCTACCTACCTACCTACCTCCCTCCCTCCCTCCCTCCCTCCCTCCCACCCACCTACCTACCTACCTACCTACCTACCTACCTACTTACCTACCTACCTACCTACCTACCTACCTACCTACCTACCTACCTAGCTAGCTACCTACCTACCTACCTAGCTAGCTACCTACCTACCTACCTACCTACCTACCTACCTACCTACCTACCTACCTACCTACCTACCTACCTAGCTGCCTACCTGCCTACCTACATACATACTGACACTTATAATACATATACAT